TATATATATTCATTAGATTACTGATAAACATCTGCTCGTGAGCAAAACACTGCTGTAATAAACTTCGATCGCGAATTCTGTCCGTGAAATTGATTCACAGTACGTTGCTTCGTAATCAACGGTTTTTAGGTGGTGATGGATTATACACACGACGTGGCATCGAATAATACCATACCTCGGCCGGATCTAACAGGAAAAATTGGACATGCTTTATACTCGAAAGACACAACGAACACGGCAGGTTTTGCACCGCCATCATCAACACCCCTACTCTCTAAACAGTCGAAAAATGGAGACAAACAATTTACAAAAACGGTATCCTTACAGTTGACGAGGTCGACAACCTTGCAATCTGCAGAAGCAACAAGCAAGACAACGACAACTAGATCAAGGACAAATGCTACAATTTCAGGGCCAACCGCCAAGACATCTAGTTATAGTAATGGGTGCAAGAGTGTAGAGCTCGCTCTCGCACTAAACCAGACATCACAAAGGCCCTTCAATATTGACCAGCTTTACAAAGAAAAATCCGAAACGAGACAAGAAAGGCCTAAAATGTCCTCGAAATTAGCGGGAGAATCTCGCGACATAATTACGCAAATGCGTACGGACACAAAGCTATGTGCACACAATGATGAATTTCTAGAGTTACCTATACCCTTTAAACGTAGTGCTTTCCGCGCAGAAGCGCGCAACCTCGGTGCTGGTCTTCAAGATAACACAACAAGTGACAAAGAAGACTCAATGCTGAAGACGAAACCTCAGGATAATGCCAAAAAAGCGAGCGACCTTCGAGTTATTATTACGCGAAACAAATATACAGATGGGCAGGGAAAGGCAGAAAACGTGGATGAATCGTCTGTATTAGCGCTGCCCTTTAGCTCTAATCTCCTTCAATCTCAATCGAGGGGGTCAGTCCAAGAGACGCAAATTCAAGATGCTACGAGCCGTAAACAAACATTGAAACCAAGCGATGATAATCTTTTTGAGTTTGTAGGAAAGCCACGCTACGTAATAGCACGAAATGGAACGTATACACCGAAGACAACTGCAAAGAAAAACCATTCAATAGAATTATTGGTATCTTTTAATGCCAGACCCCTTGAGGCGCAAACGAACAACCCGATTATCGAAAGTGAACCAGTTGACAATAGCAGTTCAACACAGGATGCTCACATACGTAACGACAAATTAAACCTAAGTGATAATGCTACTCTAGAGTTAATGGACGAGCCCTCCCGCACTATTTTTCGAAATAGTACACTGGAAGCTAAGAACAGAGCCAAATCTATGGAATTATTGTCACCTTTTAACTCTACTCAACCTCAAGTCCACATCAACAATCAGACTTTTGATTCGCTAACTGACAAGCGGGGCCTGATGCAGGACACAAAGTTGGAAAAACCTAGCGTTAGCAAGGAAATAGATCCAGCCCTGGGCAATGCTTTGACCACTAAACATGTACCAATTTTAGCAAATCAGATATCCGATACCACAAAAGACAAACAGACATTGGTCTACCTAAACACGACCAGTTCTCTAGAAAAGATAGAGTTTACAAGTAATAAACAAAATGAAAGTTCCGTTAAACTAGATAATAAAAAAATTCAAGGGTCTATTGAACTCGGCGAAGTGAAGCGAACACCTAAAATAGAGACAACACAGATGGAAAAACTTGAAATCATCCCTAATGCTAGTGCTGTATTTACGAGGAATGAAACAGGCGACGGCGCAGCAATCGAAAACGCTGTTTTTAAGAACATCGCCAAAATGGTGCCTGACTCAATAACAACTGAAACAGACGAAGAACAAGACAAAGTAACTGCAGATGGATCATTCGCTGAGGAAGCCTTACATGGTGGCGATAATCGCTACGTTGCCACGGCTGAGGATTTCAATCAGGATGCACCAGTCCACCAAGAAGCGAGCGCTATTGAGCCCACCCATGTGGGGCAACAGGGTAACATCGAAGTTGAACTACCGTCAACAACCACTATTCGAATTCCCATATCTAAGATTACAACGCCAATTATAAACTTCCGCATTGATGCCACCACAGAATCGACGTCTACTCGTAACGACTTCACTGATAGCACCGAACAGGTGGCAATTAAACATATCAGCCAGCGACCCTCGCCTGCTAAAAGAAGCAACAAAACTGTAGAATTCGAAGTTAAACCAACAGTAGCGAATTCGTCTCTACTTCATGTAAGTGTGACCTATTCAACGGAAACAAGCGGTGCTTCCACGCAACCGATTATCTTGCAGGAACATAGATTCAGGACGTTTAACAAAGCTGTAGGTATAGCACAGGACTCCGTTGAAGCAGATACAACGTTCGCAACCGGAAAGGAATCTGAATATTTAGTAAATGAGACCGCCGCAAAGATACACAAGCAGGTGTCACTCGAAAATTTACTCTTGATTTCCACTAAAAAACCAGACAGTAAAGAGGTAGAAGAAGCTACGGGAGTCGCACTGACCGAAGCTCAAAAAAATGAAACTATCCGCGCGCTTCCCGAGGGTTCCGTTGATTTAAATGCGCTATCGGTTAATGACAATACGAATGCTTCACACTACGAGGCATCGAATAGAGTCAGAGACGGAATTCCATCAATGTCGACCACTGACAATGTTTCGTTGCCTTTTGGCCAGGCCGTAGAAAAGGCCGCCCCAGTTTCAAACAGTGACGTTATCTCTGTTCTGAGAAGTTTGGAATCATCCAATGAATCAGAAACAGCCGCGGCAGACGCATCCCTGTCAGTTTCTCGGCGTATTATCTCGATACCTGCTGAAGATATACAGGCTAGCAAAAATATCGGAATGGTTGACTTAGACATTTTCAGCCACTTTGGAACCGTAAATCCTAAAATGGTGTATGGTATCATTCGGGAAACGAGCAACAGTAGTAGTACAGCTGCACTTTCTTCCATGCAGCCGGAACAACAGAAGAAATCTGCTGTTCCTGTTTGGCGTTCTCCGCAAACTTCTTACGATACGACACACCGAGAAGGTCTTGGCGGCTGGTCTGGGCCAGATCCGAACTTTGTTTTGGGTCTAGAAAATCTATTTGAATGGAAAAATGACCAAGCTAAAATGAGGATTGTCAACTCTAGACCGAATGAAGTAAGTGAGCCTAGCTCAAAGCCCACCGTCAGAGATGACGTTCACGATGAAAGCGAAGCAAAAGATGCATTAACTCACTCACCTTCAAGCATACCGAGCTTTTTCAGCGACGGCCCGCCCTTAAACATGATGCAGTTTCCTTGGAGTACGCCGCATAACAAATTAAGAAATTCCGAGGCCAATTTTGCTCAAAAGTTCACCACGGAACCGGTCCCCATGACAGGAGTGTCTACCACAACAGCTTCTGCCACCACCACGAACGTAGTAATAGGCAAGCGAGATAACCAGTCGACCTTGTCCACCACACCATCATCTGTTAGATCGTCCACTAGAAAAATGAATTTATTTTTTTTGAAGAAGCTGGTACCGGTGACCCCACTCGCAAATGTTCCAAAAGTCGCTTCCAAAAAATTCAATCTTTTCTCGTCACTAACCCAGTCACCAATTGTTGGCAACAGTAGTGGCAGTAAATCTGTTAATCGACGCCCAAGTCTACCGTCTAAAAGGCTTTCGCCTGTCCGCTGGACACCTTCTATCGAGCCGCCACAGTCTGACGAGGGCGACAACCGAGACCCAAGCTCCGATGTAGCAAAGGAAACTTTCCTTAGCACTTATGAACGGCGTTTTGTTGTTGACACAATATCGACACCAAGCACGTCAACGTCACGAACACCGGGATTAAATCTCCCCGGTTTTCACCAGAACGACCACGATCGTCAGACTCAGAAGCTTCATGCTGGAGCAGCCGGCGGTTTCCATTGGGATTGGTCTCGTCGGCGCTCACACGAGGATCCGTATGACCTTGGCCAAGACGATGATCCTTACGACCTTTTACTCAGAGGAACGCCCCCTGCACCACGTCCGGGCTATCACCAAATATCAGAACGTGCACGGGCCACGTTGCTGATGTGCATCGGGATTGTCGTTGGGGCTACAGTATTCTTCGCGTCAATGCTGCTGGTCTGTCGAAGACGAAATCAAAACGCTAGGCTATTACGTCGCCGCGCAGTGGACAGGTTCATTGCTGAACAGCATGATGCAGCGTCGGAGGCTGCGAGCAGCTATGGCGGAAGCCATTCCTCCTACGGTCGTAAGAACTTATTGTCCTCGCGCTGAACTTATTGTCCTTCACGAGAGATGGACGAGTTTATGGAAACTGCTATCGGCGCCATGAGATGCTGTTATCGCGTAGAAAATTTTTTCTATGTATCCTGAATTAAACAGTTGCTTTTTCCCAGTGAATGTTGTCACTACAAAATCAGAATCATAATGCAGGTGCTTCGAACTCGTAAATTTTAATTCATGCCATTTTTACGGTTGAAATCCCCGAATCACACTCCTATTGGACTACCGGTGCAGAAGAGCAGCTGCCTTTTCTAGGACCTGCGAGCTTGCATTACAGAAGCCTGCATAATTTCGCCATAGAATGACATAGAAGCAACGCGGACTTTATTGGGTACACATTTATTGTGGTCTTCTATCGAAAACATCTAAATCACATAAACGAATAAACAGAATTTCATTGTTCTTTCAACGCGGTAGAAAGCAAACTCCTGTGAACAAACAGGTGATAATATCAACTTATAGCTGGAAATTTTCATGCGATCATAGTGACACGTGAAATAAGGGCAGTGGACTAAAAAAACCGCCATTTGTATTAATATGTTTGTAAATAATTATAGAGGAACAGTGGTGCGTAACAGTTAACGATAATGCTTGCCTCTATAATAGTAGCAATTAGTTAGTTGCGAAAGTGTTGTATAGCTTAAGTATAATAGCAGCTTATACAGTAGGTGTAAAACGGCGGCATAGTTGGAAGTTTGACCTGGATCCGCTTGCGCCCCTCATAAAACCTGAAGCAACGCCGAACATACGCAAAAAGACTATATGCTACTTACTAATTAATGAGTAAACGGACAGCCGAGAAAAATATGGCTAACTGAATTACTTTTTTTGTCTTTGATGCAGTTATCTATCTATTATACGGTCCTACCGTAACTCCTGGTGAGGACAAAAACGCTGAATATAGGGGATGAGAGGGCAGCGGGCAAAAACAATTTAAACAGCTGCTACACATGAGAAACAGGAATGAAATGGATAGACACAATATTTATTTTGTAAATATGTTAAAATGCATGTTGAAGAGCTAGTCGAATGGAATTAAATTAATTTAATAAATATGTAACCAAATTTAGTCTGTTCATTCATAATCAAAACAACTAATTGAACGTTATAGAATAAACTAGGCAATGCAACCTGTTCTTAACATGTTAGCACTTCGTAAATATAGAAGTAATCAAGGAGGAATAAATATTGGAATTTATATTCACGTACTTTTTTTCACTCACAAAAGGTTCGCTATCTTAAGGTAGGTACCAGAACTCGATTCCCCACACAAATGGGAACATAAGACTAAATTTTTGTGGAATGTAGTCATAGGTGCGATAGAACACTGTTTGCGGCTAAATATCAACTATTTACCAGTTTAGTAAGAATTTGAGGACAGATATTTCACTCTACACGTGGCTAAAATTATTTAAAATTTTGTCCTAAGTACTTCATTACCCAATAAACAGTTTTCGGTAATATAAAGTAGAAATTGAAAGAGGATTGAGAACTAGTGTTTTCATAAAGATACACGATTGCATGTATTATTAGAACTACCAATTCTCAAAAAACACAGCTAATAGTCATTAAAACATATAATGGCCGAAATAATAGTAATTTCTAGTAGGTTGGTAGAGTAAGTAATGACGGGCTTCCACCATGAAACATCTACTTAAAATAAAGCAATATTTCATATTTTCTTATATACTATCTTTTCAATATTCATTTCCTATGTATTCGCCGTCACTCTGTAACGCCTATTCTATCCTCCAAATAATTTACTTATTCCTTCTAACTAGAAATTTTCAGGTATAGTGTTGAAGAATTTGACCAGCTGCTTTTAAAACTTCCATCGATTTACTATCAAATGTACTGTTACAAATTTCATTTGCCAGTGACTGGAAAAAATCGTAATTTCATCGGCCCGAGATCTGTAGAAACGCACAAGACCAAAGAAAACTTCCTACTCAAGCTCCAGCGAGACGGCTTTAATGAGGTTTGCAGTGTGTGGCATGGCATTGCCGTAGAGAAAAATCATGTTGAATTATCTATTGAGTACTTTCTGTCAAATAGCCCCTCTCACTTGATGCAGATGGCCATATACCGATCCTTATTAACAGCCTTCTTCTTCCCAAGCGTCGTTGAGTGCATAAGAGTCTTTTTATACCAGCAAACGCAAATCGCGGTCTCATTCGGATACCAACCTGGCTTAATATCGGGTTCAGACATATTTCCCGGAGCTACCTGTTTATTTTGCTGTTTCTTATCGAAGTGAAAACACTACGTCTCGCCGTCCCTGACAGTTCTTACGTAGAAATTTGTCGTTGTGGCTGCGTACCGGCCAATGTCAAGCGAAATATTGAGGGTCGACAAAAGGCCGTTTTACCTTGTGCATTCCACCCGGTCGTAGGGTATCTAGGTTCCCGATTTCTGACGAAATTTCATACATTCAAGATACTTGGTAGCAATCGACTATTCGCAGATGATCTTTTCTGCCATGTTATAAACGCAAGTCTCCATCGGACAGCCAATCGAGATAAAGCACGTTTTCCAAATGCAATCTTTAAACTTAGCAAGCCCCTTTCGAACACTTCTCTCAGTTAAAGGCTGTTCTCCATATACAGTACACATATCACAGACTGCTTCAACAACTCCTTGGCTCTAGCAAAAGGTAAAACAGGCCAGATGCTAAAAGTTCCCCTTTTCAGGTCAGAAACACGCATTCACTATGAAATGAAATTACCATTTTTGGACGGTACATGCAGGTAAGCAAACCATAAAGAGGCAAAGACGAGAAAGGTCATGAGAGAAAGACAACGCTACTTTCGTACAAAAGCCCCGTAATGCAGTTTTTGAATTGTTCAAGCAAAAATATATTGTAACAATAGCGGTTGGGCTGTTCGGTCTTAGAGAGTCACCTGTACGCTTATATTTCGTTTCCATAGCGGTTGTTCTTTCAATGGAAATGTTCACTTCCATTTTCAGAAAATTCAGATATTCCAGTGAAAAAGACGATTTAAATTAAGAGTGACGCAGCTCTTGAAGTATAACAAGTTCACTTGATTTTAATTGAATAATATCGGCCGCGATCGCGCGACCGCCCTGTATTGGTTTTGCGTTGCCCTGTATGCCAGACAGACTCCCTGTTAATGTTAATTTGCTCGTTTATTATCCACATCACTCTGACCGACACAGCAAATTTATCTAAAAACTGTGTGAGGATTAGGGTTGTGTTTTACAACTCTTTCCCTATTGTGCTGCCGGCTGTTTTATTTAGTGCAACAACCGATTTAGGCATCACACGTAATTTCACATTTAGTGATACGTAGGCGAACGCAAACAAGCAGGAAAGCTTCTGCCGAAAATCGCTCTTAGCTTGCGATGGGGCTGTCGTCTGCTACGCAGTTCAGTTTGTATTTATGTTTACAGACAATCTGCTAACCGAATGCCCTCCCTGTGCGAGGAGTTCAAAGAGGGAGAGGCTGGTTTCGCATTGGCACTCACAGACTATAGAGGATTCGCCCGACAAAAAGGAACGCAGAAAGCAAAAGTTAGATGGAAGCGACCGAGCGTGTCAGGTAGAGTGGGGCGAATGCACAGCGGCGGGTGATGTTCAAAGTGTAACATCGAAACAACGTCAAATTGAATTCATCAGCTGGATTTAAGTCGTATTGTTTTATCATCGCGACAAGTGGCTGTGAATTTCAGGGAAGAGATGTTTGCTGTCCGTTGCAATAGGCGCAGTGCTGCGGGTTTGTACCGAGACTGTTAACTCAATGTCAATTATCTTGTGTACGCAAAAAAGCGAAGACGTGCCTGTGTACGACATTGCTACTGTATGAACAGTGATCCGAAGGTGATCGTGCACTATTTTTAACGAAAGCGACTGGCTGGCTGTGGTCCTCAATAGCTGTCGTAGTAATTTTAGACGCAAATCAGTGCGACAGCCAAGATTAGTAAGTACAAGTACACCGAGGCGTGCAACAAGCGACGCTTGTGTTTGTAGATAGTAGGCTTGACTTTTCCAATTTTTCAAATAAGATCATAGTTAGTTTTTCCTTCCTTCGATACAGAACTGTGCCATTTGTACCCAAATATATAGATATATATATCTGTTGCATTCATTTAATTTATAGGAGTGTCGTAATCACAAGTACATTGCGTAAACTGGCTATGTACATCGCCAATCAGTACTTTGCTTTCGTGCTGTGTCGCCATTTCATTCAAATTGATAGAACAATCTAATAATGCGTAATATCAAGTATCTATTAAAACCGGCATTTCGTAAGCTATTTTCAGTAGGGAAGTGTGTAAATATTAACACGGAAGCTTATAAGAGGTATTTAAAAGGTCCCATTTTGTGCGTCTTCGAAATTTTCCAAAGTTTCGAGTGTCCTGCCAACTCGTCGTTGCATACCCACCTAATATGCAATCCATAATTAAGCAAAAAATTTTATTGTTAAACTTATACAGTTTTAACTAAGTTTTTAACAAAATCGCCTTGGTGATATTATGTTTAATAGTTCAGTAATTTAATGAGCTGTAAGGCTTGTCAGTGTCCATTCTCACTATATATTTAAGCAACGTTTTTCGGTGTCACTAGACGGCTTGGCTAAGCTCTAATTTATGAGTTGCCATTTGTTGAACAAGAACCCGGTGTGTCCGGGCTTCGGCACTATGTATTGTCAGACTATCGTTCCTTACAATGCAGGCAAGTCAGATCACGAATGAATTGGCTCGCTAGGTGAAGTATCTGGCCTTTTTAACTAAAGCCTTGAAAACATTTTGTTTGGATATGCATACGAATCGTGTGAACGTGAATATGATTGTAACGTAAATGTGATGTTGCGTGCGCAACTGAGATCAACTTCGCCATGCTGTAAAAAAAACACCGGTCTGCATTTTTTGGTGGGGATCTTTAGCAGATGCGTGCGGTGTCGACACGTGGTCTTGCAACTCAGGCCATTCGGTACGCACTCTTCTCGCCTCTGATGGTTGTTAAAGGGCTACTAAAGGATACTAATGATGATTGCTACTTTTCTTCTAGGCGCCCATTGAGATCCGATTTTTTTTAGCGATTTTATTCACTATTGTAGTACTTATCATTCAACAACTATAATCTACCCAAAACTGAATAAAGCGGATATTGCTGAAGCTGGGAGCGTTAATATAAATTGAAATGTACTTAAGATTTCAACATTACTAAAATGGCAGTATGTCTTGAGCTCTTAAAATTGGTTGTGTTTACCTTCTTTTGTTTTCGAGTCTATATGGTTTAAAGTACACGTGGCGGTGTTAAAATGAACCACCCAATACATGCCTTTCACTGAATAACTTGCGATAGAGCCCGTTTCGGTTATGATATGCCGTTCCAGCTCAGTAATAATAAGGAATAAAATGTATAAATTCATGTTCGCACAATCGCACTTTTTAATGATTTCAATTAGCAGTATGTTTAGAATTTCAAATGTCACATTTAGAGATATTACATAGAAATAAAGGTTAAAGTTAGTTGCTGGTGGGTTAGCGTACTTTTTCTTTCGTCCAACGGGAAAGCTACAAGATTTCTTCAAGCACGCTTCGGCCATGTACGGCTTTTTCGGGTATGAAAATTCGTTGCGATTTGATGCGGATCAAGGTGCAGGTATCCTTGAAGCAAAACGCAATCGAACACAGAACGAGTGAAAACTAGTTTCGTAAGGCCCACAGCATATTCTAAAAGACACATATGTTTCAAATAAAAACCAAATTAGAAAAACCCACAGCGAGTCCAACTCTTTTGGGCGGGCTCCATTGCGCCGAATCGATTATCATTTAACCAATAAAGTTCTGACATAAGACAAGAAAAGAATCATTATTAATGAGAGCATCATGCATATGGATCTATTTTTTCTCACAGAGTCATGATAAATTTGGCACAGAAATTGAAAAAAGCAGCGGCTCAACAAAATAACAATGTGGGTGAACACGTTATAGCCCCGTCGTCGAGGATGTTGATTCGCGATCGGCTACTTCAGCCACAGGTATACTGCTGTTCATTTTATTGACTTTCATAATTGAAATACACAGTGTGCATAATAAAAACGACAACCTAGCTGTTGTTTGACTCAGTATATATATATATATATATTTTTTTTTTCATAACTACTATTAAGTGTTTGTTTATTCAACCTAAATTGGCCAAGTGAAATAGCTGGTTTAAGCTAATCTTTTTTGAGTAGGCGTATTTGTATTCCGAATGTTTGCGCGTGAAATTGAGCCCGTTATAAAGGTTACCTTTCGAAAGAGTTAAACGTACCTAAAAAATAACGACGTCCGTGCGTTGCGGAACAACTCATCGTGTAATCCAATCAAACAAATTCATTGAAATAAACAAAAATAAATACAAACATAACCTGTGTTCAAATTATGTTACGTTCAAAGGCACTAGGATTTACTATATTAAACATATGCTACTTTACCTATATACCGCTAAAAGGCTAAATATATTTTTAGTAAAGATAACGTCTAACAGTATTAACGTCTAACAGAGCTTTCTATAACACACTTTAAACACAATTTTTCATGCAACACAAATTGTGCACTTTTGTGCACGCAACATAATTTTTACAGAAATATACACTTGGATTGATGGTACTATATATCAGCGCGGATCATGCTGGTAACCGCTTGGGTGTTTGTAACGGCGCTGCGGCATTGTTTTCACACGTGGAAAGTAAAACATAAGTTGCTGACTTCGGTTCATAATCAACCAAATTAATACACTCTACGGAAAAAACTAAGTTTTTGCTTTCTAAAGGTACAAGTATTTATCCAATCGCTTCCATCTTCCGCGAAGCTCTTTTCGAAATGAAACTCTTGCAAGCTAGAAAAATTAGCCCTATCCTACCACTTTACAAAGTTGATTTGGGTCAGATAAACTAGCGGCCTAAGACTTCTAGTATTAAAGCTGACATATAGGATAACAACAAAGTAACCAACTGTCCGACGTAAAACACGGCGGAAAAACCGTGTAAGGTTACAAGCTATTGGGTTTCATACCTATGTTAGTGTAAGGAAAAAAATAAAGTGATCATAAAACAGGTGTGGAATGAAGCTTGCGGATCTGTCGATTAAACATTCTATATATATGTCTAGCACAGTGTATGTGTTCGTATTTGAATAAATATCATTATCTTCTCGTAAATAAAAAAATGCGATCTTTTCTTACAGTATCTGCTAACATTAATGCCAACAGGTGGCTGAGCTGACAGCTGATGTTATACCAGCGTCTGCAACGGTCGAATTCCCAGACCCGAACGTGTTACATTCCTTCCGCATTGTACTGCGGCCTACGGAAGGCCACTGGCGGGGCGGGCGATTTGTGTTCGACGTCGAAGTGCCGGAAGAGTACAACATGGTTCCACCAAAGGTATGCTAGCAAGGAGCGGACTTGTATCTACCAATTTTAATTCAGAACGGTCAATCCCCGTACCCGCTGTACGAAAAAATAGCTGATTTTATTTAAACGGCATTTGTTTTGAAGTTAAAGATCGCGTTTGTATTTAGTAAGTATTGTAGATAATTATTCTTGTTATTATCTGTTACAGAAGTGATTATCAAACATGATCAGGCCAATGATAATGAGTTCGTTTTTTTAATATGAAAGTATTTTTGATAGCAGATTTCATAAAATAGAACTCGGTCGAGCTCATTTATCTTATACACATGCTTATAATTGTTTCTCTTAGGTTATTTTTGAGCTATCCGAATGGGATAGAAGAAACGCCTTAATAAACAGTAAAGAAGACAAAAGGTTTTTCTTTTTAAGCGATTTTCGACACTGTTGATTTTGTATTTGCATGCAGGTTATTTGCCGTACCCGCCTCTGGCATCCGAATATTACCGAAGAAGGAAAGGTCTGCTTATCAGTGCTAAGACAAAATTCGTTAGAGGCGACGGGTTGGACGCCTTCGAGAGGTCTCAAGGTAGGCCTGGATTAAGTGGCTTGTTGAGCCTAAGTACAGGTTTTAAACGTTGCTTAATTACGGAAATTTCTCCGACTTACAAACGCCCTTTGGTTTGCACCGAACTAGTATAATGAGGTTCTTTTTTAGTAAGATTCATTATGTAAATAGCAAAACGTAGTATCTCAAAAATGTACACTTGTAGAGATAGAGGTCTCTCTATGTTTACATTCTGTGAGACGTATTAGGCGGCTAATTACATAATGAGCATTTTATAAGCATGCCTTTCGAGTATCCTGAATCAGTTAAGCTAAATTAGGATCTTTTTAGTTTAATTTTGTCTATGTTGATTCCAATCGGCACTGAGGATGTAGCTATTACGGTAGAGAAAAGAAGGAATATTCAGGTCAAATGCACCCTTACTCAGGCCCGAGAATATTATAAACTAGTGTATATATATTACGATACGTTTCAACAGATCCGATGCACGCCAGTAGAACAGATTATTACTAAAAAAACACTGTTCTTGAGATTTGACACATATAGTCAAGTCTGTGTAACTATCGTAGAAAAAAGGGTCTATGACTTGGGTTGCGCAGTCTATGATGCACTTTAAATGCTATGATTACACTTATTCGTGTAGCCTAATGCTGTTAGCTAAAACAAGGCATTATACTACAATAATATAGAAACTTTGCTATAACCAAATTAAATTTTATAACTTTGAGAATAAAATTTAGTTTGGTCTTCTCAACCCCCAAAAAATTACATTGATCTTGCTAGCAGCCGATTTCACAATTTTTGAACCTGGAGGAACAACTATACGAGAATCACTAAAAAATTCTTTTATCATAAGGACCGTCGTGCCGTTATACGTAAACTATCGCAGCTCATTTGTAGATCGATATCGATACGTCATTTTGTGGACACCATTCTGTAGTTTGCGTGTATATTTCAAGTCGCCAGAAAACTGCTTACACACAATTTCGTCGGAAATAACTTTTTTTAGGTCAAAAATTGTTTACTTTGAAGAGCACGAGACCAAAGCACAATTACTGTGGGACTCTGGAGAGACAAAAAGGAGGCTTATTTAATGTCTAGTTTATCCGAACATGGAGAGCCTAGGCTTCTATCATCGATACGCAAGGAACTTAACTTCTGTGACGACAATTGTAGTTTACTCTGTTGAACGGGCATAAGAAGACAAAGTATGTGCATTAAACGATTCCCTTTTAATTGGCCCTTAACCATGGCCCTTGTACCCAGCTAGGTGGCAGCAATGACCTTCCGAGAAACCGCTTCAGTTATTTATCTTCAAATTATTCCTTATCAGAGATTTGAAAGGTGGCCGATCATTATCGTCTCAAAAAAAGCACACAATGATCTTTAAGTTACTGGATAAAGTCTTCCACCGTTTTCTACAGGCGTTATAATGCTTTAAATAAGAAAGAAACTTAACTTTCTGAGTAGCATTGGTTAAAAATTAGCTGTAACTTTACTGGAATGGAACTTTCGTGCGGTGCCTTACTCAGTGATTATTATTAGCTGTTCTCTAAGGACATTCTGAAATAAACTGCAGATAACGCAATAATTAGCGGAAACTTGTAATTTTTTTTTTATCTGTGGATTAAAAACAGAGATTTCTGCTCATGGATATGAGTCCTCCGTTTCGTGCGGTTACGGCTCCTTCGGCTATTTTGAATGAAATGAAATTTTAGGATTACGGTAGGTTCAATAAAGATAAAATATATATCATTAATATCGATGGAGCTCGCAAAAATGTGACGCCTGTGTGTTACCACAAAATGATTACAAAGCATTTTATAATCATCAATGCAAAGGCCAAGGGTCCTATTCGCCGTTACGAGTTGTCTGGCTGGAATTGGGATGCGAAATCTAATTCTGTTGTTGTAAATCGAACAGATGCATCTTCTATGCTCAAGCTGTTTGCGGAGTCAGGATCAGATATGATAACTAGGGTATCGTTTGATAATCTTACATGCTTCGTGATTGCCTGTAAGAGTTCGTAAAAATGGAGCTATAAAGTTTCATTTTCGCGAGGGAAGCTGAGTATTGTTTCAAGCAATACATAGGAAGTCGTCCAATGACTATAAGTAAATTGCTGTCGGAAAAAATGTCGAAGACTTTTAAGATCTCTAGGATGAACTCGTTAAAATCTAAAAGATGAGTCGTTATCAAAGGGTTTGCTACTCTTGTGAATTTGTTGTCTAATTATTGTATTACTTAGAATTTTTTATGCACCAAACACGCGACAGTGGACTTAAAAAAGCTTAGACAAAATCTAAGTTTTTACAGTAAACAGTTGCTGAAAATTCAATACGTCATTCGACTGACTACGTACACTACACGTAAGGTAACTAACAGAGACATCATATGGATTAAATAAAGCAACTCTAGCCACGTTTGCCGTCGTCATGCAAGTTGTTTTTATTGTTGTTGCATATATAAATCTTTTATTTTCATGGTGATGGAAAATAATGCTTTACAACACATCAGGAAATAAGATAAAAGTTTTACATGGCAGTCATTTGATTGGAATAGTATTACAACATAGCATTTACTTGTACTGTATAATATACTTATACCGTAATATATAGACTATTATTATTATTATGTCTTTTATAGACCCTATTTTCATTATCTGTATAGTTGAATAATCATATTACCATAATGTACATGTTGGTCATTTATGAGAATTTGAATATTTCTATAGGCAATCTGTGGGACCTCAAAGAACAAAGTTTTACCGGTTAATTCACCCTAAGGAACGTGGCTGGATACAGTAAAATACATTTGTTCTTTGATGACATTATGCATTCTGGTTGCAGGACGTTGTCTTTGGTCTGGACGCGCTCTTTACTGACCTGCTCAACTTCGACGATCCCCTGAATCAACACGCTGCTACCCAATACCGTGATAATAGGGAAGGCTTCGAACGGAAGGTACGAGACTATATCGAGAAGTACGCCAAGGATTCTAGCCATTCATCTCACGGGCGTTCAAGGCGGCGGGAGTAAATGTAAATGCGAGTTGTGGCAGAAACGATTAAGATGGCAAGAAAATGTCGACCGATTTAGCATAGAAAGGTTTTTTGAGGTTCCTAAAAGAGTTTCTATGATCTTGCAAAAACAGCTACCGGGCGATCTCACAGAAAGCTTAGCGATCTTGCAGAAAAGGATTGGATTTAGTGGTCAAGTGCTCTGGATCGCACAACTGTTATAAGGCAGAGTGACCGGACGTCAGGGAATGAGTGTTTGCCCTTTAAGTACAATGCAATACGTTGAATCAAGGAAATTTATGAAAACCTTTTGTTGGCACAAACCGTCAGAACAAGAGTTATTTTTGGACTGCGCAAGTGCTGCAGGGCCAATCGACACTCGGTTCGGTCAAGTGAGTCGGTGATGTTCATAATCAAACGAAGACCTGAAAGACGACGATGCTGCCAGAGTGAATAATATCTTCTTTCCCTCGTCTTCAATGGATCCATTTCTTCTAATGCCCGCGCTATTAGTCTGATATCGATAGATTTTACAATTATTATAGAACATATGTACGAAGACACCTAATCGATCACGGGGCAGCGATCATTTCAGCCCGCAACACCGTCACGCGCATATGTTTCGTAACTACTATTAGAATGATTATAATCATATACAGGGTTTGTGCGAATACAAGTGGAAGCGAACAACAATATTTAGTAGTTGGTAATAATAAATGAACTCAGACCTATGACTATGTTAAGTGGTTAAGGTGTAACGACTTGTTGTGGTATACTTTTCCTGTGGAAGAAAAACGCTCATACCCTATATTCCATGATGCGCCACTTGCTAGACTGATCTTTAGTATGATTGAGTAATCGTGCTTTTCATTAAGTGGCTTATGAATCTTTAATTTCTTCCTTTTGCTTTACCGGATGTTTACACTAAGAAGATAATGCTGATTCAGCTCTCGGACTATAACCCAGTGATAGGGCAAGGCAAATGTTCATGCTCATAAGCTAGGCAGCGTTTCCTGCCTCCTCTATATTTGTGCATGTATATGTGAATTTAGTTGTCGAAAAAGCCCGTTGGTTTCGTTCACTTCTTTAAACATTCAAGTAAATAATAAAGTGAGCTAGATCAATGTGTTCTTTTTTTCTAAATCTAGGAACTAACGTACAGTATCTCGTTAACCGGTTCTTTAAAATGTGTTTTCCAATAATATATGTGCGCTCGTGGATTCGGGGATTTCCATTTTTTTTGTTTCGTGTTAGCATATGATGCTAATTTCATAATTTAAATCAATTATCGATTTTTTAGACTTTGTAATAATCGTAGTAGAAGTTAAAGTAGTAACGATACAAACTGTTCTTTAAAAGCACTTGAACAGAGTATATATATATATATATATATATATATATATGGGACAAGAGTTGGAGAAGTTTCCAACCTGCAGTATTACGTACAGAGCAACCTTCCGGCAGTGTTAGGCCCATTGTATTGCTGCATTCTCCTAAACTCAGATGAAAGCAAAAAAAATGGAGAGAAACGTTGCATGGTAAAAGAACACTCTCGAAGGACATAACGGAAAGGATTGTCTTGTGTATCATTTACTGTACAGTTGGCCGTCAGTGCCGCGTGCGGCGGCCAAAATGTTGCAAGATGCAATATGCTTAGTATATTTGATAAGGCTATTTAATAGCAACAGATCCACATTGTCCTCACATTGGTCATGATTGAACTAAACGAGAGAATCTTGAGAAAGGGCTTTTCTAGTCGGCGACATTCTCATAAAAATGTAATGAGAAAACAGATGAATTGAGATAACAATGGTGATTATCGAATACAAAGTTCTTACTTTTAACTTTTCATGGTATACTGGAGTCATAATAAAAACACAACTGGGAGATAATAAAGAACGAAATACATATCTCTGTTTGCGTTTAATCAGTAAAAGAGTTTGAGAATTTGTTAGTCGGAGTCGCTATGTCACGATAGATAAATGCGTTTTCTTGTTAAATAAATCGTAGAATGCAGATGAATGCCTTTATATAAGGATAGTATTCTGGGCCATGCGAACGGATGTTTTCGCCTATCTGTCGCGTACATTCAATTCAAATAAACTATTTAAAATAATAAGGCATGTGCGACTAACGATGCAGAATGGAGGGCATTTCTATTAGCGTCAATCATCGCAAGAACCTATCAAGCAAGGCAGAAAAATCTTCGATTGACAAGAATACTGCTAAATAGTTTATACGTTGAATCAGGAACTTAATTTTTGACAACCTCAAGCTATAATCACAATGCTATCATTATACGAGGATCTGGCTTATTTTGTATTATACCATTTGTGATATATACTCCTTCGTTTTATTTTAAATAAAATATAGTTTTATTTTTAAATTTCAAGATTAATCAAGCTCAGTAGAGGCATATGTGATTAACTTACGTTTTATATAATAGTCTTAGAGTTGGAGTAGTAGGAAGCGCGCAACTTGCATGTTCCTAAGAATTGAGTTAATTTATTTTTCAGAATAAAATGATATAAATATACAGTATTATCATGAATACTAAAAATGTACAGTCTTAAATTAAACAGGTGTATTTAAACAAAGAACAGTAGTTGGCATTAAAAATGCACCGCAGAGAGGAGGAGGAAAACACTCAGAGCACGGATTACCGACCTCAATTACCAGAGGCACGCTTTTCTATTTGGGCTGAGTGAATAATATAATTTGTGTATTCCAGCTTATATGATTTACAAACAATATATGATGTAATAGATATAACTTTATCGATCTAAGCAACACTCAACAATGGAGCAGATTGTTTGTTGTCCTCGTTTGCTTGCCCTGCAGCTCATATTTAACATGGCAATACGTTAGCCCGGCCTAAGGTTGCTGCCATTTACTCACAGCCTTTGTCTAAAACAAAGCCTTAAACTTTCTGGCTCAAGCTAGATTGGTCTACTTAGATAAATAATGATATCACTTTTATCTATTTGCAAAATGAAATACTAAACGATTATAACCTATACAAAGTAGATAAATAAATTACAGAAAATAGGACAGATGCCCTCAGTTGTCGACCTACTAAGCTTCTTCTCGTGTGCAGATGTAATGGACAATGTTTTGTAGCCTTCTATAGCTTGTCACGAGCAAATCATCGTGGTGTATAGCGTAATGATGAATGTAGAGAGTGTTGTCTACGTACGTTGAAATATTTGTTCTATCCGAAAGTGACTTTACTGTTTAACTAGAAATGTCTGTGTTGAGTTTTCAATAGATATAAGCAAATTTGTGCAAAAGATATGCACCAAGTGTTTTGCAGCAGCAATATTACGAAACATTGTTCAATTAAGTGCCGGTCATGCATATTTGGGCGCACTTCTTCATGCGTGGCGTATCGAAGCTTTTAGAAAGGATCGCTCTAAAATTTGGCCTTTTTTTCCCTATGCAGCTTGTGGGAATATTCAAAATCAATAGTAGCTATAGATGTCCTTAGATGTGCCGTTACTGATTGCATTTTTCCGATTCTCGGAACGTTCCAGAGATGACAATTTAGGCTTCTGTTGTGACCGTTGCGTATGGTTCTTTGCCAAATGGATTTCATCGCTAGTACTTGCAACTGGATTAGCCTGCTCGTCTTCGTCATAGCGACGGAATCCGAAGCCGGTTCTTTTGATGATCTTTGTGTATTTTGGTATTCCCTGCAACGTATAAAATATTATTATTATTGACCAGATACTAGGTGTCCTGATACCAATTTTTTATAGACTAGGAAAAGGCTTAAGTTTAATAAACCCCGTGCGAATGAAAATAAACGGGCTCATATGATTTAGCTGATCCTTACAACGTTCGAACGCCAAATGTGCAGCTGTATATCGATAGATAGCTACGCATTCGCTACCGATAGATAACTGCAGTTGCTGAAAACGTTATCAAGGCTAATTTCAACGATATAGTAAACTAAAACATAGAAAACGTTGATCAAAGATTAAGCAGTGTTAATAAAAACTAAATTTTGGCACAGCTTCAAAATGTATATAAGCTTATGTGCGGGTGTATACAATGTAATTTCTTTAGTATAAGTGTTCTTTAAATACTCCTGGCTTAATGCTAACCGCTGATTCAGACGCCTTTAAGTGTATCGGATACGCCTTTCCCTCGTGAGGTCGATAGGTTTTCAGCTCGATGATAGGATTATCCTGCATCCGACAGTGCAATATAGTTATAAATGTAGAAGACAGACATGAAAGATAACATTTATCAAGGGATAAATAACGACGAATCGAATTCCTTGGAACGGCTTATAACAATATATATAAAACAACATTAGCTATGATCGGCATACAGCCATGTGAAATTATTATTTCTAGAGGTAAGCGCAACGTGGAGGAACGACCTGTGATCTTTGAAAAGTAACTTTTAAAACTATTCCGATCGTAATCGGTAAAAAAATCGAATTTGTACAGAAAAAGCCTCAATACTCTTGTCCTCATGAAGTAGATCATTACGGGTTTACCTAGTTGGTAACAGTGAAAATTACTTGTCACCTACAAGGTGTTTGAGATCAATACTGACATGTTGCGCGGAGGCACCTGAGCTTTTCATGTAATCGGAGAATAGAGTAGCCTGGTGGATGAGCAAGGGGACAGGCTGGACAATTTTCACCAGAGGCGGTTGAATTTGTTTAAGCACACCAGTCGCCGTATTCAGAGAAGGTGATGCACTACGATCTCTCTTTACATATTGTCGAACGTAATTCTGAAATCGAAAGCATAGGCTTCACTGTACACTTATTCTACAAGGGTTGTCTAACGTCTTATGACGCTATTTTTTGAGGAACCCTATAAGCATTGGAATTAGTGGCCCACATTTAGGACATCGAATGTCTAGGCGTAAGTACAGATATTTCAAACTAACAAGTAGGTACAAACAACAGATTCGAATATAAACATAATATAATGTTTTCAATTATCATTGTTTTAATTTATCGAATAAATATAAATACAAATTTCTAGTTGCAGAGAAAAGCGTTTCTTTGCACTTAACCAGAAACATCGAACGTATGGGAGTATGCCAGATGTTCGCATACAATCACCTCAAAACAGGACCCTGAAGTAAGGATTTTTCCAAAAGGATTAAGGCTAGATTTTGTCATATGCCTTGTTAATAAATCACGGAGTGCAAATCAGTGTATAATTATCTTTATATAAAATCGCTACTTGTATAATCACTGTACGTTGCCAGACACCTCTCAAAAATATTACCTCAGTGTGTGTCCCGGCTTCCAAACTTGGCGTAGTTCTGGAAAGAAGTAATGACTGCAGCGTCTTCGGGTCAACTGGATCTGGATGTTCAATAGTAATTTGTCGGGGTAGAGTGGTCTGGTCCAAACTGTAGAGAAGTCCAGGATATTTCTTCTTCAAATGCTGCCTAAGGTTTTCAACAGAGGTAGGGAAAATGGACAAATATATCGCAGATTCTCATGTTTCAACACTGATTGTTTTATTATATGTCCTAAAGTCAAAAAACAATTATTACTCGTACAGCCTCTCCGATAAGTGCATTTGATTAATTACTAGCCTACTTTTACTCCCAAAAACTAGCTGGAAATTAAACAAAAATCTTTTCTACCTCAGAGTGCTTAGATGTGTAGGTGCCTATAAGCCTTTCTATTTTTTTAATCGTGCACCCGTTCTATCACACAATCACTTACGGGGTTTTTTTTTCACAATAGCAGTATATGAGCATTATGCATCGTATACTATTACGAATAGGAACGAAGAGTTCCTTAATCTCACGAATGAAACCCCGGGTAACGATCAGTTTCGGCTAATCCTACCTATAGAGTTTCTTTTTCCAGTGAGTAGCGCTCGGTGATCCCGCGAAAAGTAAGTGAGCGTTGGTTCGGGTGCTAGTTACAATCGATTGGCCATAGTTGGCATGGACGAGGATAGGTGCAGCTGTAGAAGAAATCGTCGTTATCGAATTGGCGGATGCCGTGGAGCCAAGCTGAACTTTCGGAGCCGGTACTACTAGTGTGACACATAGAGACACATGCAATACAAACCAAAAAGATTATAGATTGTTTCGGAATTTAAAAAAACATCCTCCTGGACTAGTCCACAGGTTTTAATTTCCGATACATGTCGACTGAACGACAAATACCGTTGCATTTGTATTTAGCTAGTACGGCCACCTAAGCTATGACCGATAGACCCTTGAAGATTTTTAGTTAGCCTAGTTAATGTAATAATTATATGGTATCCTACTGCTATAACTGGGTGCTGATGTGACTTATCGACTCATACAACGCAAACATTAACAATGGGTGCTCCTTGAGGTGCAGTTACTTTGAGCTTCTTAATAGTAAGAACGTTCTAGTGTTGTGCGTGTGCAAGTGCGGGCTTCCCAAAGGAGGCAACCGATATAACACAAATACATACGAACATATATATACATATACATATGTGGACATATATGGAAATAGATGTTAGCCATGACGAAACTGCCCGGCCAATTAAATAAATATATCAATGGTCAAAAAAGGGACGAAAACATGTACGGATCTCTCTGGACTAAAGCTTGGAAACGGTAGAATATTTACTTCGTACGGAGAACGAACTCCCGAAAAATCCGAATAGAAGTTTGTCACGATGCTGCTATTCTGATAAATGATAGCAGCGACTTCACGGGATAGCTTTGAACATTAAAAAATATCGTTCACTGAAAATTGATGGATTGTATTGTTTGACAATAGTTGAAATATGTTTACTTTTTTTCTACGATGTTAAAGCTCTGTTAGTGGTTTATCCTGATAGCTTTTTGTCATACATGGACTCATATTACATCTCGCAGCGGGCGTAACAGTGGAAGACAGGAGCTCAGGATTTGCAAAAATAAAGGCCTTCGAATTGCTTCGATATATATATATATATATATATATATATATAATGTAATTTTTGTGTAAACAGAACGTATTGTCATGAATGTAAATACCAAGTCGACTATTACGTTAACATCGCGTTTTCATATCCGGATTCCGAACAACTTGGATACCGTAGCTAAGTACTGTTCATTAGACTCCGGAGGCTTTCGAATAACATCGAAAGCTAAACCATTAATGTGATTTCGTTTTAGAAGTGTACATCATCTAGACGGCGCATGGCCTTCACGACGTAATTTCATTGGAGCCAATTTAATTAGCATATATATATATATATATATATATATATACATATATATCGATATTGTTTTCGCCGTCCTTAAATGTTAAATAAAAAAAATTGCTCTATAGTCCTCGGAAAAAGTGTTATGTACCGTCGTGGTGATGGTGTTCAAGGTGCTGACGCTTGAGCTCTGCCGCGCCATGCGGCGGCCTATTGTCATCGGCTAGGTGAGACCCAAGGGGCGCAGGTTCGATGTGATGACGATCAGATTCGTGATTCTGTGGCAAATACGATCCAATGCCGAAGCTGTGCTCGTGTGCCACAGCAGGCGAATCCAACACAACAGCTTTAAGTGGTTCCGAGTCGAGGCGTTCAGAATTTCCACGGTTAAGAGACTGCAAAAAATTTAACTTAATTCTCATAGCTTTATTTTTTATTTTTCTTATTTAATAGACTAGAGCGACAGCTTTTTTTTCCGTGGAGCATGATAGGTTTGAAACAGAAACCTTGAAGCCCGCCACCAATATTTCTTCTTGCTCTGTTTCGCGGACTTGTAAATTTCTACCGCGCTGGTAAATACAATTACGTTTACTGTTGTACTGGAAAAAAAGAAACAGGAATATTTAGTCGCTATTATCTATGTTATTAAATTAATGTATACGGCTACGGCTACATGCTACGGCTTCTATCAGTAGATAGGATTCAATATCAACTGATAGTTATGCAAATCAGTGACGTATATATCCCTAATCGCCGTTCACCCATAATTGTAATCGTTCTATGTTGTACTAATTTGTACCTGTAAAATGCTATCATCAACGTGCTTATCAGCTGTTTCGACCGGTTTAGTTATGACACTGCCACTTTTCGACACTGCGGTACCGGGCTCATTCGTATTCACGACCACGCGGAATCCTTTTACGAAACATGAATAAAGAAGCAATCATTCGATTAAAAAACATGTTTTTTTGCTTCGTACACTTTCGATTGCCACAAATACGTATAGTTTTTTAACACTTATTTACACCGTCTATAGTACATACAATAGGCGGCATTCGAATTTGCAGAAAAAATCGATGGGTTGTTTGTCGTGACAGGCGCGCGATTTGAACACTAGGACAAAGTCAATTCTTCCCTCAAAACTCATCACAACGAATTGCTTCCGGAATTTTAGCATAGGTCAGTTATTATCCAATCGTTCTGCTCTGAACGAATTTCTACCAAAATAAAGGAAAACACATATCTTCTGTCCGAAATCGACATTTCGTGTAGCTTCCGAAATAACCGAGGAAGAGTTTTTACAAAATAAACCTGAAGATCCTTAATAGTGTTTAGGTTCATCAGAATGCCTCAAAGAGTTACTTTTTTTATACACCTAAATATTCGATAGAGAAATTAACTGCTGAACGTTGATTATCTATTAGGTCATCTAGATAAGCTCCAGTAGTTCGTGTTTTGCAGTCGAGGAGAATGGTAGTTATCTTAACTAAACATGGCCGTCGAGAACAACAAATCTAGTATATGCAAAAAATTTCGCCACAGGGACCGGTTTTCATATAGACAGAACCCTAGAAAACAACATGTCAATAAACCACAGATACAAACGCTCCGACATGCCTATGCATACTAGGCTGTTCCAAACGAAGCCGGCGAGCGAAACGGCGTGCGCCCTAGGGTACAACATTTGGCTGGCAAATACTTAAGTTTTCTAGAAACACGTTAATGAAACAAGCTCAATTTTACTACAGGTGAAATAAATTCTAAAAGAAACATTCTTCAGTGTCGAAAATCAACGCTCGATGGCCGAGTTTTTTAAAGGCTACACTTCCTTGGATATTCATTAAAGATTCGTGAAGACACTAAGCAAAGAGGCCTTAAGCAAAAGCATAGTACTTGAATGGTGCAAATGGTTGAAGGACAGAGACCAAGTGCGGAAGACTGACAAGGAATTGACTAGATGTTGAGACCTAGAAAGCAAGAACATATTGCCACAATCGCGGAAGATTCTCACGAAAGTAGAATATGGAGGTAAACTAGGTTGAAACTAACATTTTACATGTAGCGTATTATAATCGAAATACTGAATATGCGAAATATTAATACAATATAGTTTTCCATAAATCAATTCCAGATCGGGTGGAAATGATTTCGGTATATTCTACGCGTATCTTGCTAAATTTCAATCACCGAAAAGCTTGCCAGGAGTACACGGTTATCATAAACGAGGCATCGTTCGATCCCTATCGCTGACCGAAAAGCGACCAAGCAAAAGGATTGCGGCGCCCTAAAAAGAAATCAAGCTCAGTGGCAATGTCTTGTAGATTTGGACGCAAGATGATGGTACTTCCAGTGGATATCAGGGTCATCTGTTTTCAGGAGATACTCGCCGAAAATCAATTCATAAATGCACCCTGCTCCCTTCAGTTCTTCAAGAGACTTGCGTACCGTCAGCACGGTAATTGAAAGTATATAGTCTGGCTGCTTGACGAGAACGCTTGATTTCATTGCCATAACTCATTACTTCCTGGACTGAGCAAAGGGGTATGCAACGCCTGTTTCACCTACACAAAACGTACCGTTTATAGTCCACTTCGTTCATTATTTCATTTAGTTAAACTATTAGTTTTTATTCCACAAAACGAACGAGTTACTCAGAACCATACGACCATTCGGTATGATATATCATAAAATATAAACTGGGTAAAAAAAACTAAGGCAAAACCATCATGTCAATAGCACTATTTTTTTTTTGTTATTTAAATACACTTTTCGTTTTGGCTGATAGTGAAATAACCCAGTTACGTGAAATACTAATACCACTTGATAATCTGGGCGATTCAGATACACAGCGGAACGGTGTTTCTTATATAACTGTTTTTCATACCATTTTCATCGGCGATATATTCGACGTAACGTCTTCTGCCATCAGCATCAGTGATCGTGTAGCCTCCACGTTTATTTCCCAACGCGTCTCCAACCTGCCGTTTCGATACGAATAGTTTTCATTGTAGTGTATATGTACAGCTATTTTACTCAAGTTGGTTCGCCAACTAACAATATTAAACAGAAATCTAAAAAGTTTTACTGAAACTACGTAAAATGTCTCAACTCTGAATCGAAGGGTCTAAACTTTCACCCCTCCAATGCCGAGCTGTTGCGAGCCTGATAAGCATCGAATGGACGCCGTTCAGACAAGCCGTTAGCAGCAACGTAGCTAAATAATCTCTAACACATTTTTACGTTACTTTTTCAACTATCTTAATAGTGACAGTACTTTTAATATGACAACAATATTCTTAGTAACAGAAATATAAGCAGTATAATTAAGAATTTCGGTGGTGCTTTAAATGACCTCCCAACGGCCGTTTGAAGAACCCCAGCCGTCTTCAATATTATAGCCGAATTTGTAGTTGCCATGATCCTGAAATTAGAACATAACAGTTGCTAAAGGTTAGTTCTGTTTCAAACAAACGTAGCAGTAAATATGAGATAATAACTTCACTTTAATTATTTCAACTAACTTCTGACAAATCACGCTATAGCAAGCTGTTTCAATAAGGAAAGTAAGACTACGCTTCAATCTCTTCAGGAGACTGTTTTCTCTAGAGAAAAACGCTCGTCCAACTTTCAAACCCTTTTACGCCTCTTCTGCACCCATCTTCAAATCGAGCTAAGCACGGGTTACCCGTTACAAATGTTTACGTGTCCGCCCCACGAGCTGGTCCGCCGCCCAGGCATGTTACTATGTGACCATATCACCAGCCACCACACGATTACCACTGCAATGAAACAGACGCGCCTAACTTTGCTGTTGGCTGGCAGGAACGGCCATGTTGCCCTGCACCGACTCAGCCGCAGGCAGGCATGCGTCCACTCATACATTTAATTATTTTGATCTACTATAATATGTTTTTCCAAGCTGTTGAGTCACTTTCTTATCTGCAGTAGGCTAACGATCAATGCGAACTCAGCGTCTTAACAGCATCATCTGTACGTGCTGTTTTTTCTAGTACCCCCCAAAAGCGCTTTGCAACACTTTTCAACCGAATCAAACTATAAGTCGGTTCGTATTACTATTTCAGATATTCTCGTTTTTGCCTCAGTACCAAATAGCTATGTGAAAATAATTATAATATATGGCAATAAATAGTCAACTCTTCTGTCTTGCCGATAAAAGGTTGTCGCATTTTCTCTCACTCTGAGTAAGAAAAGTTTTAACTTGGCATTCTCAGCGAAATCAGCGCTTGGTGCGTGGTGTCTACCTGCTCATTCATCTGCAGTTAAAAGACCGGTCAAATAACCCAGAACGGGGACCATTCAAAGCACTAGTGAACTAATACTGTCTACGGATAGTAGGATATTTGATTATCTATTGATAGTTTAGTATCGCATAACTTTGGGCCGGAACAAAATCGAAAGGTTTTATTTATTTATTTATTTTATTTAAAGCATATTACTTGCTCGTTTTCTCTCCAAAGTAAATGTTTTTTGCCGAACAAAGGGAACGATTCGATAATAGGGAAGGCGGTGTAGGTGCGAAACTTGCGTAATTGAAATTTGTTAAATTCGTTTCTCTATGAACCTTGACCTTTACAGAGGAGGAGGTTTACCCGCATCCGCCGATTTTTTGTTTAGCATTGTGAATCATGAATTGGCTTCATTCATCACTAAATACATTTGCTAACGAAGCATAATTAGGTTGGCACTTCAATGAGTACGCGATATGTACGAAGAGTAAGACGTCAGCAGGCACTCAGATTTATTAGTGGCCATAGTGCTAAAATAGATTTTTAACCGATCATTTGAGGCAATATTCGTTCATTGATGTAGCATTAATCGAGCAACGTTATTTCTCTGTTCGTAACGTTTTACCGAAGTGCACGTGTCATGACGTTGTAGCACCAGCAACCAAAAACGGTGGGGTGTTATACTTTCATTGCCTTCATGGCTCCGTAACGGCAATGACCTTGCGCGACAATAATTTATTCAAGCAGTGACAGATCACTTTATTCAATTATGAATGTAAATACTATAAAAGCCTCGAAACAATAAGGCATGCGTCAACGCTAATCCGGATGGTCGTATATATTCTGTTGGCGCGGTAATTCAAACTTCGTTGTCAAATGTAAAATTTTAACTGACTTTGTTAAGGATTTTCTCTGATGTCCTAGTTTTTGCGACCTTTACGGATGGTTTTTAATAACGGGCTGACTAAAACGTGTGTTGGGATCGAAAATTCGGTTTTTCTACTCAGAGGACCTAGCTTAGAACTGATAAATGGCATGAACGAGTGGGTGACAGACTTCGATCGCTGGCTGGCTATCCATGTGACAATGCTATAGGACAGAAATCCCTCAATCTAGACACGGATTCACCTCCGATACCTAGGCGATAACGCAGTGCAAGCTAGACCTACATAAACAACGTTCCCATGTCGACATGATGCCCTTAATTGGAAGTATCCTTCCTGGGCAGCTTCCCGTATTGTTAACTCGAGCAACTATTCGAGTGTTTTTCCTTGTAGTAATAGGTATAGTTGTAAAAACAAGCGATTCGCGCGTACGCGGGCTGTTCAGTAGACAGAGTTACAAGAGCGGTAAGACAATCGCTAAGGAGAAGTTCGTACAAAAATCAGCATCACTGAGTATTACTCACTCATTCGCAAAGGTTTATTAGTACTGAATGTGTCACAACCGAAATGGCAATGAGACAACTACCGAAATTCGAGCGCGTTTCAATACTTTGGTCGAACAGTCAGTATTGCGACATTGTAGTTTTCATAAATAGCCTCTCTGTGGGCTTTTTTTTGCTGAGGTGATTCTTGATCTTGTGTCGTCATAGGATCGTTGCTAGAGATGAAAACTTTAATTGAGCCTCTCTCCATAATCATCCATCAACGAAAAAAATCGCTCAGGCTTTTAACATTGAAACATCTGACCTCAGACAGTAGCGCTGTCGTATCGAATTGTCACAGCTGATGCGATCATTGGTCTGCGACTATAAGGACGTCTATGTCGAAGCTGACGTTTAATCAGTGGGCAGAGTATTGTGCTCCTCATTTTATGTAGCTCATTACTTTTTATTATCCATGTCAAAATGCAAGGCTTCGCAGACTTTAATTTGTTCTAAGTGATACATTTGTTAACTTGTGCACATCTTCGAACCGTATTGGTTCATGAAAGTATTTGCCTTTAATGGGCATCGAGCACCGTAATAAAGAATCAGAGGGTGCCCGTAATAGCTTACATAGATCTTGCGTTAGGCCACACCGCAGATAATCGACGTCGAAGGTTAGACTGTCAGGAGTTAGCGCAGACATATTTGTGGCTATTAAGCCAATGGAACTGTTCGGGAATGCTTTAATGGCGTAACCAGACCTATGCGTTCGGCTGTGTTGCGCACACCTCTCTAAACGTCTCAAGGGCGCACAGGATTGATACATAGAAAAGCACACGTACACACTCGCAGGCATATAGCTTAATAGAATGCTACGTAAAAGCGGGATCGATTACCAAACGGCCAAGCATTCAGTCATCTAAAGCGATCACTTTGACTCGATGCTGCGCTCTGTCATCATCGACCCCAGCGATGTCTCTCAACTTTTCATCACTCACTTCAGTGATACTCAGCGAAGTGGCACTAGCCAGTGATAGCATTTGCTTTCTCGCTAAAGAACAGAGGTTAGATAGAAACAATTGTTACCATGCGCACCACCACAGTCTCTACCTTTCTCTCTGCTGCGTTACCGTAGGACGTAGTCCCCCTCACCCCAATTCTAGGATTATTACTGTTGTTGTTGATTTCGTCCGTCACCCACTATAATTTTGTTGTCTTTTCTATTCGATATTTTGTTGTTAAGGAGCGTTTTGTCTTTTTGATCCGCCCACGCCATTGAGACTTTGGCGACAAGCAATAAATGGCCAACGATCCTTTTGTTGCCCACGACTCACATCGGCAGTGTCTCTTTGGCGCAGTGTCAGTGATCTGCTTCAACAGCCATCCCGTGTCTCCGTCAATATCGCTAATTACGTTGCTGGGAGCAATCGAGATTTACCTTCACAAGTTCGAATTTAACATTTTACACATTCTCTTTCTGATGCAGTTGCTTTCGTGAGACAGGGTCTATTGCGGCTGCCGTCAAACTGTGTGCATCGTAGTTGCCGTATTCAGAAGCCGAACAGACAATGAACAGTGTACCCCTTCCACTGGGTTCTTCGCGGGCAGCAGACGGCGTAGCGGGGAAAGGGGAAGGGGGCTAGTCATCACTGACCGTTGAGGTGAGCGGTCTCCCATGAAGGCAAAATGGTCCTGAATGCACATTACAGGTCACTGTCGCGGTAACTAGGCGCTGTGGCTTCGTTCGGTGATTGACCAGTCTTTCACGCCAACGTCTGAGCGAAAACAAAGCGTCCCGTGCAGAAGCTTCTAACACTTAGATTATACTGTGAGGGCTGTTATATAGGGCTAGTCTGCTAAGCGTAAACGACAAAACGGCATGATCGTAGTCGTTATGTAAATACAAAGGCCAAACTAAAACCCCTGATATCTGACTGCGCTGACGATAAGATTACCTGATAAAGACACCTTTTTATTCTTCGACGAGAGAAGCTTGATGGAGATACTGACCATGAAGGTTCTAGTCGTCAGCATAAGATGTCATTCTAGGCATGGCCGTTCACTTTGGTCACCTGTTGAATCTATTTCTATTTGTTCTCTGTTAATCCCATTTACAATATGCGTCAAGTCATCGTCGTCTGTGAAACCCACTACAGACTTTCACGGAAGCTGTGAAGTGTCTCTTCGAGATCCACGAGCATATTAGCTTGTTCCTGATAGATTCATAGTTCACTAGTGTTCTAACACCAATTGGCGACAATAACGGCTGATGAACTTCTGATCGTCGCTCACATCACAATCTTCTCTTGATGGACTAATGTGGCATGGCAGCAATGCGCCTTATATAAGATAATAGGAGATTTCTAGTTCTACATTACTCCCTAAGCTTGATCTGGTGTAAATAAAATAATCCTGTTTCTTTTTTTATTTGTACAGACTCGCACGTTTTCTTTCTGGATCGGAATTTGGCACCCTTCACAGGTAATCTGCTCAAATGATGCTGCTGTCACGTAATAGCGACCTGCATTAATAGTTCCACTGCTAATTATACTAATTAGAAATAGCCTTGACGATTAGCAAAGGAGCTTGACAACAGTCGCAAACAACGTCCTTATGATATCCAGTGAAACCCTGTAATCAGCTAAATTAGCGGATCAAGATATCCACGTCCCAGATAGCGCGAATCTAGATAATATTTGATCATAACCTGCAATATGTCTCACAAAGCATATGTAATATATTATATAACATATGATATATATATTTGTCATAGATGTAAACATTTTCTATTGGAAATCATCGCGGTTCTTCGCAGTGATGGTGGTTTGTTTGCGTTTATGCAGTTGACTTAATTGTTTATGAAATATGAATTGCATTTTCTCAGTTTTGCGCGCGGGCTGGCCTTAGCATTGCAGGCCCGCGTCAGATAGCCGCAAAGCGTATGAAATACTAAAATATATTCACTCAAAGGCATGGAATTTACTATGCGTTATAGCTGAAGCAATCTAAGCTTTTAAATAGCTTTGAATGTACTATAGATTAAAGCGCTTACAGTATCCTCGACATTTTGCCTCAAAGCTTAGACTTACGTCTTGCGATCTGTGTACGTTGCTAGTTGCCTGGGACAGGCCACACACTTCACTAGGACTCGTCCATATCGCGAAACAGGACAACACCTAGGACAAATGTTAAAAAAAACACGCCTACCATTAGAAACCTTGTGCTAAAACTTGTTATGTTACTTCTCAACATGGCTCCGCTTTTATTTGACAGCTAAGCAGTTCGCTAGTACATAGAAAAGCACTTACGGCGCATCAGGTGAAGGTGCGATTGTTATATCATTTCAGAAAATTTCGGGAAGCTAAACTCAGTAACCTGACTGAAAATGTATTCATTAACTGTTCCATTATTGAAAATGCTGTTTGATGTCCCGATTCACTCGGTGGCCTTGTGCTACACCGTGAACTAACGCCAGACGGCATTAATTTAGTACTACTACTGCACTAAATTTTAATTAGATAGCCCACACCATGAAGCTGCCATAGAAAGTCCATTTATATATTCCTAGCCCAGTCTTCCTCTACGGAATCTTCAATAAATGACGATTACTCAATACTGATAATAATAACCATCAGTGTTCTCAATAGGTCAATGAAGTTGATGAAGTGCGATAAGAGTTACGCTTGCATAATACAGGTTTCCTTTGATAACATCAGCTGTTTTATTTTTTCTAATAAGCTGGGCAAAATTTCATTCAACTGTAATCTGTTGAACCACCGTTATCTACTCATATGTATAGACGAAGTAGTATTAGAATCTTAAAGTTGGGTAAGAACCATGGTATCGACATGTTTTCAGAAACTGTACGGTGGATGTGGCGTGGATCCGACCAGCAAAACCCACACACGATTTCTTCCACATGCATGACGTACCTTCATAAGTTCTACTCGGCATACATACAACAATTATATGGCAGTAATTCGAAGATGTAACACTCTGGTTTTAGTAGGCCTTCCTACTGGCTTTGAGGGACCACTCTCGTAGTATTCTGAACTTTACCCGGCGCAACTACAACTTCATCAGTTGGGCCAGCCTACCACAGAACTTACAATTACGTGTTGAACCGGTCAAGGATGTAGATATTAAGACGACCACTTTTTTTTGCTGCTGTATGCAGTGCTATATGTTGTGCTGTTCTTAGCGTCAGAAAATCCCAACAACGAGGAGAATCGTCCTCCATTCATGATCCAAAGAGCGAGCCATTATTCAATCGAAATCTGTTGATTTATCGCTTGTCATTAGCTATCCATGGACGTCGGGGGGGGGGAGGGGGGGGGGTCCCGGATAGAATTAGATCGTTATCCTCTGTCTAAGCTTAGGGCTTAATGCTGCTCTTGTATCTCGTCACGAGAGATGGCTTTCTTTCAAGCATGTCGTCGCCCAAACATGCATCTCCTGTGTAACACAGCGGCGATAGCGACGGCAACTAGTACCGTCCGTACTCTGAACCAATCGATTCGATCTATTCATCTTTTTCCGAAGCCGATGTTGAATATGTATTGGATATGGTAATCGGCTATGACAATGCATGCTTTGTTACGGTAAGCCCCGCCAAAACGTCAATGATGTGCTAATGATTTTGCTGTATTTGTTTGTGAATTATCGTGAGAACGCTCGAAAGAAGTTCGCACGAAGCCGGTCTTGGCGTCGGGTGAAGGCACTTCAATAGTTTATTGTTGCACGTGAGCGCGTAACATTAGATTATATAATGTAATTATATTGAATGTCTTTTTGCACACCAACGACTATATTTACTGTCTATGGGTCGCAACGGTTTTCATAATAAGCCGATTAAAGCTATAGATAGAAGCGAATTTCTGTGATAACAGAAGAGTGGCTGAGGTTGACCCTGAGGCGGCCTAACCTTACGCAGTCAAGTAGGCATCGCTCCTATTTACGCTGCGGTTCGTTAAAACTGGATGGTATAAGGCTAAAGCACTGGTTAAATAGCACGAAGCGTTATTACGATAAAGTGTGCTTTATATATAAAGTGTTTTTTGTCTCAAAACCTTGAATACTTCCCACCGAGGCGGTTCGTGAACGTTCTGACGCAATCTACAAACCAACTGATCTTTATATGACTACAGTAAATAATATAATCTCCCTTTCGGGTATACGGGTTAATTGCCTAACTTCAACGTAATGATTAAATTCAGCCCGATATTTTGAAAGCGATGCTGAGGAAGCCTAAAAGACTCCTTCCATTTACCATGTAGTTTTATGCCTACATTAAAATAGTAGCTATTTATACCTGCAGATATATTAAGCGGTTCGCTGAGTAACTGTCGAAGACAATGTTTTTCTACTTAACAAATCGACTCCGATTTTGTTCGCTCAGCTACACATTGACTCGAATGGCTGGGTAGAGCCTCTTACCCCGTTACAAAAAGTCATGTTAGCTATGTTCACTGAGCGTCTTCAAACCGTTCTTGATCCTTGGCACCTTGGTCGCGCCTGATTGATTTGCTCATATGGAATCTAATACTCGCTAGGTTTAAAGCACAAGCAAAACTATAAGGAACAAAGCAATTGTATTCTATTGAACCCAACTTTCGTCAGTATCAACTGCCCTGTCAGAGGAGTAAGCCAAAGCAAGACTCAGCGCATCTTTTTCATAACGCTCGTTTTACCTGTTACATTGCAGCTACGGAACTAATTAAGTTAGTTGCACCGTTTTTTATCGTCATCCCTCATCGTAGAAGGAGGCCTTGCTAAAGTCCCGCAGCATCTACTACTAACATTTACAAAGTCAGCAGGAGATGACCTCATCCAGCAGACACTGACGTTAGCTATAGCTTTCCGTTCTACAAGCACTACGTCTACCTAAACCTGGCCAAACAAACAAGTAGCCACCTTTTCCTGTACACGCTTCATTTCTGTAAATCTGTTCAAAATTTGCGTTTTCTAAAAGTAGCAGTAGCTAGCTACAATTACTATATAATCACACTATTATTACGGTTTTGGGTAGTAACAGAAGTTGCAACAATAGCAGTTAGTGCGACAACCGATTTTCGAATCTTTTCAAGTCGCTTTGGTTTGCACCAGGGTGCTGATGCTGCTGCTGCTGCTGCTTCTACTGCTGCCGATAAGAAGATGATGATTATATTGTTCGTGATAATCATGACGGCCCCATCTTGCCCTCCACCCGCAACTTTTTTCTTTGTTATGTCCACTGTTGTGCGGTCGTCTGCTCCGACCTCTATCCATAACGGCCCGCCGTCCGTCCATCCGATCGCTTGCCAGCTCCTTTGGTCTTTTGAAGGCACACAGGCTAATTTTCAAATCTGATGGCTGCTGAATTCTGTCTCGTTTGTTGTATGTCTGATGCTTTTATGTAGCATAGTATCGTTCTGTAAATATAAATGTAATATGTCGATCTATTGGGTGACCCAGCAAGAGTGGCAGGTCTGCTTGCTCATTGTCTACTTTCACCTGGCGACCGTGCACGCCCACCGGTAGCAGGAGTTGGTCGCTACCGTTAAACATTTTTCTTCAGAAAAATACAACAGAAAAACGTTACCCACAACGCGAGTATATCAACCCGTGTTAGTATGTAATAACGTACTATATATAGCCGTATAAGTAAGGAAAGAGGGGAAGTTTCAGGCTCGAGCAGTGTCTTTGGAGTGGCATGTCCACTATCACCGATGGGCAAACGGCCCTTCATTATATATATATCGGGGCAAAAGTCACCTGACAACTGAAGAGTATTACTCACGTTCTTTTTACTCTTATTTTTAGCAGACACTACTCCTTTACTACTGAAACAGATACAAAATGAAAACTTCAACGTTTAAGTGACTTTTCTCTTGCCTCCGTACGAATGTGTGCACATATATGTAAAATTTATGGTTGCGCGATATAGGCCATGATTCTATGACAACTATGACGCTCGAAATTGTATCGGTGCATAGGTGCTAAATGAAAAAGTCCCTTGACTGACATACGGGCATCGGCACAAGAGTGCCGCTTAGAAGCAGAGTTACTTGTCGTTTTCTCCTACTATTTCGTGTGCTGTGAGCTGGTAGACTTATTCTATCTACGTTGATTCCAATAATGAATTCCATCGAAAGCAGTAGCTGAAATGGTAAACGATCGGAAGCGAAAGCTGCCTACAATGCTACTGCCACGAGATAAGTTGAAAGGTGCATTTGTGACCTGTATTGCCTATCGAACTCACAAATTTTGGTACTCAAGAATGTCATTTGATGTTGTCCTTTTGAGAAATTGTCGATAGGACCAAACAGGCTAACAAAGGTGCGCTTGATATTTGACCATTGTCATGGCAACCTTGTACACTGAAAGTTCCGCTGTAAATACAGGCAATTGTTGTACCTGCAGTAGATCTAACCCAGCAGAAAGAAACGAGTTCAGCGATGAATTTATGTGTGATCTACCGGACAGGCGTGACCCAGACAGTTTTGTGGCCATTTCCAGGTATTCTAGAAAATCACAGGTGGTTATATATATAGGTCGCTAGTCCGTTTGCCCGTTTACATTTACAGAGCCAATTATAGGTAGCTGAAATATCGTAGAACTATGTATCGAACTCAGGTCAATTATATGAAACGTAGGAAACAAAAACGTTCATTTCTGTGGTTACTATTAGCTCCGCTAAAAATTGCTCTTGGGAACATGAAATTTCGTCAGAACTCCGTTACCCAATAGGCACAGTTAAAAAAAAGTTGAATCCCTCAAGAATTACTGTGGATCTTTTTGACGCATCAGGGACACGGCTGCTGCTGCTGCTGCTGCTTAAACGTGATCGTGCGGTATGATAAGCTACCGCTTTCACATATCGTGCCCAGAAGTGTACAACGAAAAGACATCGATGGCTTCAGTGTCATGCCATCGCCACTCAAGGGTCTTAGTAAGACTATAAGCAGGGTAGGAGAAACGATGTAATCGCAAATGTAAACGTTTTTCCGTTAGCCGACTCTAGAAAAATACTTGCGTAGTAAACCGATCTCAGATCGTGATCAGCAACTGGTGAGTGAAGCTCCTGCGTACGTGGTCATCCCTCGAGCAGCATCAGAATTAGAATAGAAAAATAATTACTCATATACATTATACTGATGATTGTAATGTATTATGTCATTATTAAATATTGCATGATATGCCTGCCGGCAGAATATCATCATAGGTTTGTTGTCGTTATTATTATAAGCTGGCTTTTTCGTAGATTAATTCTTACTGGATAACGAAGACGTTCGTATCATAGAAAATATCTGAAGCTTTCGAAGAAGAAGTAACAAGCTACAATATCAATGACGAGAAGTTGTATGTCTAAATGGCATAGGATTAAATTAGATGTAAAGCGAGCCGTTTACTGAGCAAAACATTTGCCATTATGTTCCGCTATGGAACATTGCAATATAATAACAGTAACGACCTGTATGATTAAAGTTTTAGTACGCAAATGAGAAAAAGAAACTAACCGCCTAGCGAACCGCATCCGTACGAATAGAGCTGGGCTAAACGTATTCAGCTTTATTCGTTTTTGTAAGATAGATTTTCGTTCGTCTTCCAATGGCTGAAACCCTACGAGCGGCTGGCCCAAACCCCAACCCCAACATAAGAACAATACCATTCTAGCTGTGACAAAACAAAGAAAAGGGTATGGCTACTGGAACCGATGCTAACTAACCATGCATTGTCCCAAGTATCATTTATTTATTAAAACAGTGAACTATTTCAGCTAGATTGGAGAAAATTAATGTTCAATTGGCAACGTAGACATTTGGCTTACGGTACCCAATTGCAACTTTTACACGAGAGCTAATCAGAGTTTTGAGTGAGAGACCTGAGGCAGTTGGCCTTTCAAGGTATTCTTATTGATTTTAATATGTTCGTATGTTAAAAGACCGGTTTAGTATAGTACTTTCGTTTAAGCAGAAATGGACCCTACGACTACTGAAAATATATATACGTACACCCTGTACGCGGTCCGACTTAGTATATATTGCTTTATGGACTCGTGATGTTACAACAATTAACATTTTTTCTCACTTCCAAGAGGAAAAGGTCTTCCGAGATGCCAGGATACCCGCTAAAATCCATCGAAAGTAGCCTAAATGAAGCAAATCTACCATAGCAAGACGGCTAGAAAATAACGTATTGTATTTAGTATCTCGTCAAATTAGTTCTTTTTTTTAATTGCACTTTTGTCCTTCCAACAGCTGTTCGGGGCAATACGTGCCCCGAACAGCTGTTGGAACCAAACATCTCGTGTGGCTCAAAGATGTTGACTAACTTAGTTGTTACATTTTAACAAGTTGAATGAAGAACTTACTGTCGCATTCTTTTGTGCGATCTTCTTCCCTCAAATTTTGTCGTTGTGAACAAAAAAACTTTGTTGTTTTTTTCGATATAATGGCGTTTACCTTCGCTTCTTAACGCCACTTACAATGCTAGAATGGATGAGCGTCATTCAGTATGAAACGTCGCATAAGAAGTCATAAGTCTTTTCGAACTTCTTTTCCCCTCGAATCTCTTATTTTTAAGCCATTATATCTATGTAGATATATATTTATGTCTAAACCATTATTGTGACTGCCAGCCAATTGGATAATAACTTATTTACTCACTCCTCCGCTGTATAAATGTGGGGGTCTCGAAAGACAATGTCAGCATGTCGAAATCTGAATGACTTTCCCATTGATAAGTTGTTAAAATTAAAAAAAAATCTTATCTATCATAAATTAACCTATGTACTGAGTATATGGGGAAAACAGAGAGCCTTCCACCCCATCTTTATCAGTGCAATTTTTGCGCTGTGAGCCTGGCCGTTGTCGCGTGGTTTACCTCTCTTCGTCAATCTTCGATGCTTAACGCGAAGTTTTTCTATCTTTCTTTCCAAATTGCTGATAGCACACTTTAGCCCTAATCGACAAATTAAAGGACTCGTGAATCTCTAGCGGATAACATTTGCATTAGACCATCAGTTGTGTAACATTTGCCCTAAGATGATGCCCCGCCAGTTTATCCATGCATCCATCCATTTATGCGACCGTTTGCAACTATCATAATAAGTTTATCGTTCACTAACGTGAAAGCAAACAAAAGCAATCATCTCTAGGTCTCCATTTTTACTCTCACTCCAGTCATGCAGTATTCACTCGTCCGACTTCTTTACAGCAATATTTCGATCGAAATGAAAAAATACACATACTATACCTAAGTGCCAATAGTCGTGCACTTTGAGATAGCGATCAACTTTTCGTTTTTTTACCATTAGAGAAAGTTTACCGCAAAGTTGAAGTTTAAATTTCATTCCCTAAATTTGTTTAATAGCCGAACGCTCCCCGAATACAACGTGTATACGAAGAACTGTTTCCGCGACTGTAGTTCCTGTCGAGGTCCTGATTTTTCTCGTTTTTCATAGCTTATTACAACTCGCCTGCTAAAGGGCCAAGTGATCAGATACGGCCTCAGATTTCAGAGAGTACAATTGAATCTCGAATACAAAAAATGAGAATGTCAAACGACGATGATGTTTGTCATGGCCTATATAGATTTATATATAAAAGTTTTCATTGAGTGGGAACCTTGGGCTCGAATAATGCAATGTTCCAGTAACTATTTACGTACAACTTTAATTAAATTTGGTAATTCTAAAATAGATTCTAAATAAAATTGGCAAAAATGAAAACGTTTTACTAGCGCGTGAAACTATTATAAAATTGCCATGTTTGGACGGAGAATTGCATTGACATATACCCTCTCGAAAGGACGGGAAATCATAGCATTTTACTTTTAGTAAGAATATTTAAAACAATATGAGGTAATTGCCTTCGACTGACATGTTTCTATTATAGACTACTTTTTTTTGTAACGTAATTAGCATATATATTGTCTTTTAGCGAGGTAAACCTTAATTATCAGATATATCTTGAACCGTTAGCTCTTGGTCAGAAATTTTTTAAAGGCAGCAAAAGCTGTGTACTCCTAAAAGTTTGTAGTAACACTAAACAAGTTACATTTATTTTTTTAATTTATATATTTGATCGGTTTGACAGGTGATCGGTTGTGAGTTCGAAGCAACATCTCGGTGCGAAGTTCTCAGTTGTTGGCCGAACTTGTACTAGGAGGAACTAACTTCAAACTTCTTATTATAATAGGATTACAGCAACTTCTAATAAACCTCACCATTTCGAGATATTACTACACGTTCGACATTACTAGTATTACGGTTTTAAGTATCGATCAATTATGGAAGTTTAAGCGTACATAGAAGCCACGCTTTGTCTTCGTTTCGATTTCACTCACTATAAGTTAGTCGATTAAATATTCAATAAATATTTAGCAAGTGCCGAGAAGATGTAATAGCAGAAAAAGATCCATTGGCCCAAGGGCGCCGAACAACTAGATATTATGATTATCAAGTTATAAATAAGATAAAAGTGTTTCTGAAGGGAGGCTTAAATGTTTTCTATTTATTCTTCGACCCCATCTGAACAAAGTTCAGATGGGGTCGAAGAAACAAATTCGAAATTAGTTCACTAATCAGAAGTTGGAAACAACGCAGAAAACTTTCTGTCTCGTACTTGTAGCATGAGCGTAAGGTTTAAGTGAAAATGTACAGTTATTGTCCAGTCTACGTTGGAACGTTGAAGATACAGGGTGCCTGCTAATTACAGAAACCATAACTGTTCTTAGAAGAACCTTTTAAATGCCCAAATAACGATATGCTATAAAAATAAAAAAAAGTTTGCATATTTTTTATAATAATATAATAATAAGATAATGCGATAATAAGAATAATTATTATGCTTCGCACGCTGCAATATTTCGTTAGAAAATGATTTTTTTCATTCACGAACTTAAAGTGAAAAGTCTAATTTAGAGTGTAGACTGTTATTTCATCTTGTATTGCTCGATTGTAAAAACGTCTGTTTTTTTCTAAGGGATCGATATTGCTCTAAGCTCCAGCTCTTTCCTTTGGTTTGGATAAAAATCCAGCCCGAACTGTATATCACCGAGACATTTCGAATCTTAAGGGAAATGTGTGACTCGGAGCGCGAGACTTCTATTGCCTGACCATATATCTATATCATGATATTTCATATTCAAAATTTTTCGAAATCATTCTTACTACGACTGCCAACCGATTCGTTTAACTGGATGGTGTTGTTATTTGCAATGGTCCACTTAAGTAATTATCAAGTCGCGAAATATAGAAGTGAGAGATGCTTCTGTATGGAAGGGGACGTACGGTTTGATATTCTAGAATAGGCACCAAGACTCGTGGATTCTGTCATAATATTAGAAATGCATGCGTTGCTAGTAATAGAACCTAATGATCGTCCTGATATGAAACATGTTCTTACTCGGCTTAGGTTAGATCCTACCTATATATGAAACATTTATTCTAGAAACTTTAATAAGTATTATTGGTAGTTTCAACTTCAAATTTGCGATCTCTCTCTGCTAGTGAAACATCGAAATTAATTAAAGTTAAGGCACAATTGTCAATAGGCGGACACCTAGGTAACTGAGTCAGCGAAAAAAACTTTTAGCTCGTAGGCTCTGTGAAGAGGCTACACAAATGAAAGTTTGAGACTCAGTCGACTTTTTCTTCGTCTAACAAACAGTGTTTTATCTACTCTCGCCGGTCCGAATGTCGACTATAAGGAGTACTTAAAATTCAAAGGTGGTCCAGACGACTTTTGTTTAAAGCCAAAGGGTAATCTTTAAGTAGTGAAGGTATACGAATACGATAAAACGGGAGAACACGCTGACGACTTGAAAAAAATTATACTTTTTTCTACTCCTTTTTTTTTTACTTAAATTGGCAGTCTAAGTTCAACGTATTAATAATCGCAACTCTAAAGGCCCAAATGTCTTTTTCTAGCCTTAACAAAAAGCTTCTGTGAAATCAAATCAAAATAAATCGATAGGTGAAATAAAGAAAAAAAAATAAACTCACGGCAAGGATGGTCCTCATGTTGTGCCCGCGCAGGTTCTGTCGTTGCGTACGAATTTTGATCCTTCTAACCTCGTCTATTTCGGTTATCCTCTTAGTACAGCTCTATCGAAAGCAACGGCGTCAAAGTGTTCCTTTCAACAATCATTAGTTGAGTAGTAATTTATCGATACACGCACGCGTCGCATTTAGTAACCTATGAATCAGTGCACAGTGCAGATAATTAATAGTAACACTTAGTTTGTTCTTATTGGGGCGAATCCTTTAAGTGCCACCAACAGAGGCAAAGGCAAGTGCCGTACAGTTTCACCCACTTCGACAGTCAAGTTGAATTGCCTCAATCTTTCCAAACTGATGCCCCGAGGTGTGGTCGATTTTTAAACGCTGTCTTCCCAATGCAGCTGGTGTCGTTTGCCCCAGCACTTGCCCAGAGATTGGGAAAGGGTAGGACTTCCAGTAACTTCTTGCTGCTTGATGTCTAGGCTAGTAGGTAGAGTGTCTCCAATTTCTTTCGTTCGACCTGATTATTAGCTATCTATAGATATCTGACGAAATCGAGTGTTTTCTGCACGTATTGTCGGTAAAGCATACATTTGTACGGTTTGTATCTAGGGAAAGCGGTAGATCGTATCTGCTAACCTTCTTAGACACTTTGTGGCTCGTGGTGGCAAAAGTCCTTTGCGAAGAGAGTCTACTTCACGATGTGTTAAGAGGCAGAGCAGAATTTAAAAAAAAATACCCCCCTTGCGTAATTCCAGTAATTTTTTTTGGTTTATCTACAAATTTGTAAATGTATGAAAATACATCCGTGCGAATTTTGTGTTAGCTACAGAGTCGAGGTCTTAACGTATTACTAATATGGTATCACTACTGGTATAGTACTACCTGTGAGGAGGTAAGTTTTTTTCGCCTGCCTTACATGGCTCTCCCTCAAATTCCCTCACTTTACTACGGGCCACCCACCACTTTCTATTTGCGTATGTTGTGTACGCTCAGGCCAAGATTCCTTGCTTGTTCTGGTGTTTATTTGTGCCCTTTCCGAGGGCAACAGGCGATCTGGCTCCCTGGTGGAAGGGTAACAATACTATTATATATATTATTCCTTTCTAACCATACCTCTCTATTGGAGCTGAAATGGTTCTCTCACAATTTTCGCTGTAACATGCAATTATATTGCTTGTTCTGTTGGCCGTCAACGGTAGTGCCTCTTTCCCACTCTAGCTCAGTTCGACGCTTTTGAAAATAGCCAACAACGCTTATTGATGTCTTGCCTTAGCCCCATAGATACTGTAAATGCCCCCTTTCCATCGATCTTGGTTACGAGCTTTAAGTAATGAAAACACTTCCAGCAGTTCGTGTTGTGTGACTAGATATTATTGTCCAGATGCCCCCGTACGAGACAAAGCCATGATGTGACGTTTGCAGTGACGAGATACCACCTCCCCATAACCCCTTACGTATCTTCGCCTGCTTTCTCTCTTTGCGCTGTGCGTTTAGAGCCGTAGTCATAGAAAAAAACTCTTAGAGACGGCACCAAGCCTCGCCAAGGAAAGTGGCTGGGGATCAGCAAAAAAATACGGAACGGCGCTTGGTAAGGACAACTACCGAAACGACATTAACGAAGAGAACAGAAATACATGCCCGTTCCTCACAACACAACATGATGATGACAACGAACAGGAGTCAAAGGAGGAGAGAACGAAGATGAATGGAAAACAGCATTACGATAATCGGTTGCCTATGGCCAACCTGTGACACTACAACCCTGTATTAGCTTACAGCTTGTAGATAGGAACAATGCGCGATGTTGGCCTGTGGGCCTATTTGATATCTTGTTGGTCTTACTGCACAGAGACGCGACATCACTCAGGCAGGGATACGATGAGGCAGTGATGACCACGACGGGTGATTGCCAAGGCCAAACCGGCGGATGCACCAATAGCCAAGCTAACACCTGACCGAAAGCGCTTAATGGCAACAAGGAGCCAGTTAGTTTATAGGTTACGTGACCGCGAGTCCCTCTACGAGACGATCTGCCTCGTAGCAAAACGATTCTGATGACAAAAAGTAACGAATGAAACGTATCTGAAGTAATGCAAATGATTAAAACCTATTTGATTTATCGGACGCTCACGCTTTCCGAAAGAGTGCGCCCCACTCATGAAAGTAGATCAATACACCTCGGAAAAAGGTGCAAGAAAAGGCCAACTGCAAATTGCCAAGTGGCTTATGTACACTACACATACCACAGAATAGATGATCAGTGACGTAGATGGTGCAACCTAGATACTTGGAAATAAATCAATAATAGTAACTTCCATGGCTGTTATCCAACTCCCCCTCGCCCTCCCGACAAACTTCTCAAGCAGATCACCCCCTGGTTGAACAACGATGGCATTGTTTATGTAATTACAAATCCCACTATATACTGCTTAGACATCTGTATCACTAAATTGCTCCTCCAAAAAACTAATACGAAGTAGAAAGGCTACTTATAGATAGTTTATTTTTATTGAAATTTTGACAAATTACTTTCTGGGATACTCATTTTACTTATTTGAATTTCTAAATGCACCTTAGAAGACAAATGTACTATTGTGTTGCTTAATCTTTAGTGTTGCCTTAGCAGAAAAAGTGATCAGGTAGCGTTTTATATAAATTACAAAAACATACAAAAATTGTCATCGGAGGTATCCATTTATTAGTTAGATGAACGATGAAATACGGAATCGGAAGTATGCCTGTCCGCTAGCACAGCAAACAGAGCTACTCCTAATAGTTCGGTAGAATGGTCAGATCTACACGGATGGTCTACAGATAAAATATAAATAAGGATTGTTAACTTTTTTCTAGATGCTGAACTGCACGACACATGCAGGCATTTCCACGTAGACCTATCACCAGTTCTATAACTGTTTCATCCACTTTTGTCTTTTCAACGAACTCAATCACCTGAAATGCGTCCGTACCGTAAAAAAGGCATCTGATTTCATAAAATATATAAATAGTGACGAAGCCCGCAAATTGCAGGTTTTAGCTGAACTTTGAATGCTTTGATCCTTCTTCTAAGGTGCAGATCTCGACGCGCCTAATTTTAAAATGGACTCAATAAATAGCGCAATAGCTATATCAAACGAGACATGCAGACTTAGACAAAGCAATTCATTTGCTTTCCTGATTAACTAATATAACAGTTCTCGATGTGTATGGCATTTCTCATACGTGTACAAATACTAACTATAATTGACCATATTCAGCAAACTACCAAAAAAATATGAAAACGCTATGGTACCTATTGTTATTGTTATTTACAATTTATGAACAGTAATAGCAGGTTGATACTTGCAAAAATTTTTGTTTTTATCAACACAATAGCGCGCTATTCATAGATATAAATACCGCTCTGATCCCTGTGAGATACATGACGCTTGAACACCTTCCGGTTCAAATCCCGGATGGGGCATCTCAACTCCACCAAAATAGGGCGTACATCTATGTAGTGAAGTAATACCAAGCAGGATTGCACCACTATGCAATACAACAGAATCGAAAACATTCAGCCAGATTATGTGCATTTTTGCTGTTTTTGATCAAAGCCTTTCATTCAGGACAAATCGAAAAGTATGAACGTGTGACTTTTTTTTCTTCACGAAGAAATCCTATCGCGTTGTACGCTTCGATGCAGCTTTCTGTAGAAGAAACTGCGATTACTGGGATTTAACGAGCTAGCTAATTGCTACTCTTCCATACCCGAGCTTTCAAAATACCCTCTATTGTAGTCGCAAAAGCTCACTCGCTTTGCCCCATCGACTCTTGGATATTCGTTACGGAAATACCACAACTAATCCGTTAGTGGGCCTAATGAAGAACGGCATACAGTTAATAATTATAACGTATATTTCATATGTAACGATGTAATATAGCGGCAAAGATATATTCTCAAATTTTATTTGCCCATAGGAGACATCTCGCTGATACATTTGTATCCACTTTTAATTTTTATTTTTTTGTCTAGTGTTACTTTAGCCATTTTTTGCTACCATCTACCTTCATTTTGTTATTGATTATTGTGGTGCTTTATGTGTGGGTGGTTTGACAGTCACCTTGAGCGTTCACTGCAGCATTAATTTGCTTCACGCTCGAATTATCTGACTTTCATGTTATATTACGTGTTTAATCACGTGACATGTTACAACCGTAGAAATGTCTGATAGGTTGAACCGTATAAAAGTCTGTATTTGTGTGTCTGTTTTTACCTAGCGCTACAGGAAACTTGCCTCTTCTATGATCCACAACGCAATCCCTGTGTTAACATTAAAAGTGTGTTGTCTACTGGTACAACGGCGGCAGCAGCAGCGGCAGCAACAACAGCAGCAGCAACAGCAACAACAGCAGCAGCAGCAACAGCAACAACAGCAGCAGCAGCAGCAGCAGCAACAACAGCAGCAGCAGGAACGGCGGTTAAGAAAGGTATTCCAAGACTAATAAATTTCACGATTGGAACATATTTCTACCTTATATAGAACTTGATTATTTTTTTTGTTTATCATGCACATAACTTTCTCGTACGAAATCTCTTGACAAAATTAATAATATTTTGGTGCAAAAAAGGAATGAAATAAGTTAGTTTTTCATGAAACAATAATCAAAATAGTCATTTAGCTATATTATTCCATAGTAGAAACGCGTAAACAAATGCCCTGTGTATTTTGAAAAATATTCGAATTCTATTAAAAACAAAATTAAAATGTACAGTATTTTTTTCAAAGTGGACTATTTGAATCCTCTGTGTGAGGTACATGGGCTAAAAGTGATCGTTCAAGAAGATAAAGGAAGAAACGAATGACTGTTAACTAATGAAGTTAAGCTGCACTTGTCATCACATTTCTGTAAAAGCTGAATCAGTAGAAAATTGTTTTCTATAGTGCCAAGTTCCGTTGTGAAAAAAAGTCGGAAAGCTTCGACTGGCTAAAGCTAATGTGAGGCATGAAGAAATTTCAGACGCTTTGTCTCAACTGAGCGAAGCGTGAAAATATACTTTACGCAAAACTACCACAAATAAGAAGACGTCAGATTCAAGCCTACAGTATATACACGGATATCATAAAGATAGATGCAATACGACCTCTGCATATATTTTAATTTTGTAGATTTAAAAGATGCATCGAATGGTAAAGTCGTACTAGGTTATTATTTTTAAAGGAAGCTTATCATAACTAGAGTGAAAAGTAGCAGAACAATCTAAAGCTATTTTTTTTATTTCTCGGTGTGATTACCTAAAGCTAAGGGGTACACCCCAGAAATTTGTCAACGGTAACTTACTTTTGCCGATTGATTTCCTTATATATATTATAAGAGTCATATATCAATATTGATGTACTTTTCTCCTCCTGCGAGATATCAATCAATAACGACACACGAAACATGCCATTCAC